GCGCTTCGCCCCTAGCATGGTTGCAAGAATGGTTTGCACTTTATGGTTGCAAGAATGGCTATTTAATGGACTCGGGGTTCCTCTTCTAGGATAGGTCATCGCCATCATAAATGACACTTTGGCATCCTAGACAACCTATACCATATCATAAATGCGAAAAAGAGATTCAAGGACCACCTTCCTTTGCGCTCTTGCATGGTCACCGTGCATGTTTGCATTGTAAATTTTTATTGTGCGTAGTAAAGTTCTTTCTGGCAAAGTAAATTTACTCCATGCATAGATGTGACAAGAGATTGTGGTCTGAACATCGTCCTTTCACGCCTCTCACGGTAAATTCGTTGTGCATAGTAAATTTATTTCATGCCATAGATGTGTCAAGGGATTCATGGGTCATGCATCCGCACTAGCATCGACTTTGGATGGGTCCAAGGGTGCACGTTCATCATGGTGTGGATGGATGCGTGTTCCCGTGCAAAAATGTTGCCGATGGACAAGTCTGCGCTGTGTGCACAGACCATTTTCCAGCCCGGCGACGCATTCCAAGGAAGGAACTGGGTTAATAAAGCATTTTTATTCTGGTAGCCCATCCTTGTCATGTGTGTAGCTCACCGCCAGCATTACTCCACTGCAAGCGAGCTTGGCTATTTATATGGCATGGCTATTTATATGGCACGCCCATGCGTAGGGGCTACACCGGCACCACACAAAGGTGCATAGGTCGAGTCGATGGTTGAGCATTCCAAATTTATTGTTGCAATAGGTTCTTGGTATAGCTAGGGAAAAACCAGCAGTGCCAACCTTAGATCTTGGTCGGGTTCCTACCGTAAATTCACTCGGTAGATTTGGAAAATTCTCGCTGCACAAATAAATGAACTTAGTTATTTGCGTGAAAGATTTTTTTAAAATCAGCAATTCAGTGACAACATATTTGGCGACAAGCCACCACGTCCCAACCTTAGTATTAGCAGCGCATGGGAAAACTTAATATCCCATTCCTTGATTGCATTCGTAGAAAGTAAGACAGGGCACACATCGTTTGCATGCAAAAAAGGCCGAGCATATGGATAGCATGCCAGCGGTGCATGACTCATACAATATAGTAGGCCGGTCCCTACCTAAATATATTACAGACCTAGGTTGACATGAAGCCACACAGCTAAATGAAATAGTAGCCTCTCCGTTTTGTTCCTCATATGTAGGCTCCTAGGACAATGTATCTAGCTCAAAAGAATGGTGCACGCCTCGGGCGACTCTTACGTGTGTTCCTCGACGTCGCTGCCACCTTATGGAGTGAGCGACTAGATTGAGCGCCATCCTCCAGCTTGAATGGCCGCTTCGTTGGGCCAGCATCATGTGTCATGCCAGATGTGATCCTTTCCTATGTAACAATTACTCAATGAAATGGTTACCAAGTTCCAGACCTTAGTTGTCTCATGTGACGAAAAAAACAACCTACATACTTTGCACCCAATGGAACAAAACTTGTATGGGCTCTTTAGCCTCTGTTTGCAGGCAACACAGAGGTTCTCTTGCTTGGACCTACGCGAGTAGAATCTATCGCCAGGCCATTTTTTAAGGTAAACCACCATAGCCCTGTTACAGACGTATTGTTGCACCCCGGCCACATCAACAAGGCTCAACACATCTCGTACGCGTACCACATCTCTGGTTGCCTTCTTCAGCACCTGCAAGATATGCTGAGTGCTTATTCAATTAAATGTTACCTATATAGGGGTGACTACACTGGGCGGATTCTAGAACCTGTAGGGTCCGGTGGGATGCATGGTGGGATACATGGTCTGCTCGGCATTGTGCACACAGAGCTTCTTGCTGTAGGTCTAGACAATTCAGACATATGTATTTACAGGGTATGTGGTGCAGTGGGCATGGCCTGCCAAGTAACGTTGCAATGCGCTCGGCCCCTAGCATGGTTGCAAGAATGGTTTGCACTGCGGTTGCAAGAATGGCTATTTAATGGACTCGGGGGTTCCTCTTCTAGGATAGGTCACTGCCATCATAAATGACACTGGCATCCTAGACAACCTATACCATATCATAAATGCGAAAAGAGATTCAAGGACCACCTTCCTTTGCGCTCTTGCATGGTCACCTGCATGCTGCATTGTAAATTCTTATTGTGCGTAGTAAAGTTCTTTCCTGGCAGTGTAAATTTACTGCATGCATAGATGTGACAAGAGATTCATGGTCTGAACATCGTCCCTTTCACGCCTCTCTCACGTAAATTCTGGTTGTGCATAGTAAATTTATTTCATGCCATAGATGTGTCAAGGGATTCATGGGTCATGCATCCGCACTAGCATCAGCTTTGGATGGGTCCAAGGGTGCACGCTTACATCATGGTGTGGATGGATGCGTGTTCCGCGGCAAAAATGTTGCCGATGGACAAGCCGCAGCTGTGTGTGCATGACCATTTTGCGGTGCCAATGACGCATTCCAAGGAAGGAACTGGTTAACGAAGGCGGCATTTATTCAGTAGCCCATCCTTGTCATGTGTGTAGCTCACCGCCAGGCATTACTCCACTGCAAGCAGCTTGGCTATTTATATGGCATGGCTATTTATATGGCACGTTCCATGCGTAGGGCTTTGCCAATTCCACAAAGCGTGCATAGGTCGAGTCGATAATTGAGCATTCCAAATTTATTGTTGCAATAGGTTCTTGGTATAGCTAGGGAAAAACCAAGTGTGCCAACCTTAGATCTTGGTCGGGTTCCTACCAGTAAATTCACTCGGTAGATTTGGAAAATTCTCATTTGCACAAATAAATGAACTTAGTTATTTGCGTGAAAGATTTTTTAAAATCAGCAATTCGGTGACAACATATTTGGCGACAAAGCCACCACGTCCCAACCTTAGTATTAGCAAAACAAGATGGGAAAACTTAATATCCCATTCCTTGATTGCATTCAGTAGAAAGTAAGACAGGCACACATCGTTTGCATGCAAAAAAGGCCGAGCATATGGATAGCATGCCAAATGGTGCATGACTCATACAATATAGTAGGCGGTCCCTACCTAAATATATTACAGACCTAGGTTGACATGAAGCCACACACAGCCTAAATGAAATAGTAGCCTCTCCGTTTTGTTCCTCATATGTAGGCTCCTAGGACAATGTATCTAGCTCAAAAGAATGGTGCACGCCTCGGGCGACTCTTACGTGTGTTCCTCGGCGTCATTTGCCACCTTATGGGTGAGCGACTAGATTGAGCGCCATCCTCCGGCTTGAATGGCCGCTTCGTTGGGCCAACATCATGTGTCATGCCGATGTGATCCTTTCCTATGTAACAATTACTCAATGAAATGGTTACCAAGTTCCGGACCTTAGTTGTCTCATGTGACGAAAAAAACAACCTACATACTTTGCACCCAATGGAACAAAACTTGTATGGGCTCTTTAGCCTCTGCTTTGCGAGCAACACAGAGGTTCTCTTGCTTGGACCTCGCGAGTAGAATCTATCGCCAGCCATTTTTAAGGTAAACCACCATAGCCACACATTACAGACGTATTGTTGCACCCCGGCCACATCAACAAGGCTCAACACATCTCGTACGCGTACCACATCTCTGGTTGCCTTCTTCAGCACCTGCAAGATATGCTGAGTGCTTATTCAATTAAATGTTACCTATATAGGGGTGACTACACTGGGCGGATTCTAGAACCTGTAGGGTCCGGTGGGATGCATGGTGGGATACATGGTCTGCTCGGCATTGTGCACACAGAGCTTCTTGCTGTAGGTCTAGACAATTCAGACATATGTATTTACAGGGTATGTGGTGCAGTGGGCATGGCCTGCCAAGTAACGTTGCAATGCGCTCGGCCCCTAGCATGGTTGCAAGAATGGTTTGCACTGCGGTTGCAAGAATGGCTATTTAATGGACTCGGGGGTTCCTCTTCTAGGATAGGTCACTGCCATCATAAATGACACTGGCATCCTAGACAACCTATACCATATCATAAATGCGAAAAGAGATTCAAGGACCACCTTCCTTTGCGCTCTTGCATGGTCACCTGCATGCTGCATTGTAAATTTTTATTGTGCGTAGTAAAGTTCTTTCCTGGCAGTGTAAATTTACTCCATGCATAGATGTGACAAGAGATTCAGGGTCTGAACATCGTCCTTTCGCTGCCTCTCACGGTAAATTCTGGTTGTGCATAGTAAATTTATTTCATGCCATAGATGTGTCAAGGGATTCATGGGTCATGCATCTGCACTAGCATCAGCTTTGGATGGGTCCAAGGGTGCACGTTCTGTCATGGTGTGGATGGATGCGTGTTCCCGTGCAAAAATGTTGCCAGTGGACAAGCTGCAGCTCGTGTGCACAGCCATTTTGCAGGCCAGCAGCGCATTCCAAGGAAGGAACTGGGTTAACAGTGCCAGCATTTATTCAGGTAGCCCATCCTTGTCATGTGTGTAGCTCACCTGCCAGGCATTACTCCACCTGCGCAGGCTTGGCTATTTATATGGCATGGCTATTTATATGGCAAGTTCCATGCGTAGGGGCTGCACCGGCAGTCCACAAAGAAGGCATAGGTCAGGAGTCAGTAATTGAGCATTCCAAATTTATTGTTGCAATAGGTTCCTGGTATAGCTAGGGAGACAACGTTCACCCATCCACGTTCCAGGCAGTGGTCCAACCGAATAGGATCATGCACTGTCAACTAATTAATGCTATATTTAATAGCTTATTAATGTTATTTTTAGCAGCCTTAATGTTATATTTAATAGTCTACTAATGTTATTTGTAGCAGCCTTATTTTATTTTGTCCTTTCTCATACTTTGGCATGTGTCGGTGTGAATTCTTATCTCGCATAGATATAATTATATATTGTTTCCCGCCACTTGTATTACGGAAATGCATATCAAATTCTACATATATTTGTTTTATTTTAAATAAAAAAATCTTTACGGCCTATGTATGCACCAGTTGATTCTATATATATCCAAGACAATAACTTGTCGTTCATCTAGCAGGAACATGGATAAAGGTAAGAGCGTCATCATCAACGTGGACAAGGGTAAGAGTGTAAATCAGCGAAGGAGCTCCGCCACTTCCTCTCGATCGTTTTGATGGTCGTGACCCGCCACTTCCTCTCGATGGTTTCGATGGTCGTGTCCCCTTGTCGGCCTTCCGTTGGCTAATTTGCATGCCAATGTCCCCGTGCCACCACTTCCCTCCCTGTACTTTGGATGCCCATGTCCCCCTGCCGCTGCTTCCGTTGGCTAATTTTCATGCCCATGTCCCGTGCCCACCACTTCCCTCCGGTTCTTTAGATGGCCATGTCCCGTGCCCCCACTCCCGTTCATTGCTTTGCATTTCCGTGCCAGCAGTATTATTTTATTTAGTTGTTTTGGCATGGAGCACGATGGTATTGGGTTATCATGCACAGTCATTCATTGACACTATTTGGTCCATGCTGCTTCTATTTGTGCACTTTGCTTATCATGCGTATGAGTTACAGTATAGTAGCTACTCATTGGGTCCACCTATATATACACACAGATACTCTAGATCCTTATATTTCTGTCCCTTTGTTGTAGGTTCCGGTTGTACTTGATATATCACGCAAGAGCATGTTAAGATAGATTCTTCCCAAGATAGGCGCGATTATTCGCACCGAGGGAGCAGTGAAGTTGGATAACAAGAAAACGCTGGCGTGGCTGAGCATTGAGATTCGCTCCAAAGCTGGCAGCAAGGGCCTGCCAGAAGTTCAGACTTTCGAGAGTGTCCCTTTCACGAGCTTATATGAGGCAGAAGAAAGTGTTGCTGAGCAAGCAATCTGCTATTTTATAGGAAGGATGAATATTTGCATTAATGATCTGACTTATTCTGCTTTCAAGGAAACGTATAAGCAGCTGGACCACTTCATGTCTTGGTCCCAGCTTGTTGAGACTAAGTATGATACGCTGCGCATCCAAACGGACAACCTATTCAAGTCTCGTAAGGAGCTTTTGGACCGCCTTGGATCCATCTGCTCAAGCTATAGTGATATCCTTTCTTCAGCGACTCCTCTTACGTCCATCGGTGCAGAGCCGGTTGCTGGACCAGACCCACGGTATATACAACTTGTTGAACAGCTATTCACCTTGTCTGGAGAACATCCCTACATACATCCCTCTTTGGGAGCTTTTAAAGGTATGCATGCATGCTCCTTGGTTTGTGTTGCTTCACAAGAATTGTTCTGTCGTATTTTAAATGGCTCGCTAACTTACTTTTTCCACTCCCTGGCAGGGATGCAATCACATGAGGGGCCTCTAGGAAATGTTGGCACTGCACCATGTGCTAGCCTAGCAATCTCCTATGTACTGTCCACCGAACACACCATCCCTAATGACAGCGCATGTGCAACAACCAATTCAAAGGCTTCCTTCCGTCCATCTGGTCGTGTTTTCCCATATATTGTTACCCATGTTAGGCTACTATGTCGTTGTACCGTGGACGCTATTAAGTACCTTTTATGTGTACCTTTTGTTGCTTTGTATGTACCTTTAGGTGTGTGCAGTCTCATGTATGTATTGTTCGATGTTCCTCTGTGCCCTTAGAATAAATACATGTGGTGTGCCTCTGTGGCGTTGTGTATTTTGTATTGGGTTGAGATCTCTCCCTTCTCCCTCCGGGTTCCTTAGTTTGATAGGTGATCGTAGCATTTTAATTAAGCCAACCAAAGACTGCTTGCTTGTTCTATGGAGGCTCAGAAGCAGCATTCTCTAATTCCAACCAGTTATCTGCTAAAATATTAGATAATAAATACCATTTACTTTTGTTGCAGGATGAAACACAATCGGATACATCATAGTTAAAAAATCTTTATGAGGTAATCACTTGGCTTATGTGCCAATAAATCTTCATGGCGTAAGAGGTGCATGGTTTGAATGACTAACGGGAGGCACCGACAAACCGGTCTCGTCTATTCCCACGCATTTAAAACCACACCCTCTCTATCCCATTCGTCTCCACTTAGAACCACCGCCTCAGCCTCACTCATTTTCTTGCACATTGCAGGTGAGCTATGCCCGCAGCAGCCGTGTGAACCAGCGCCATGGCATCAGAAGGGAGGATGTCCCAGCCGGCGCCTCTCGGTGGGCGTCCGGCTGAAATTCGGCATCCATCGGTCGTCGGCCACGAAGGCCATGGGTTGGGCGGGCGTCGCGACAACGGCGTTGGGGTGGGTGGGCTATGGAGATCCGCATACCACGCACTTTTCGATTGAAGTTGTGGATCGGCGGGTTTCAAAATGCCATTCGAGCAGCCCCTAGCCTATGATGCGGCCATGGTGCCTTATACGGTGGCGCTTTGCCAGAAGGCGCAAGTTCAAGCGCCTGCCGGTCGTCGGCGGCATCCTGCAATCCTCGACCACGTCCGCATCCACCTCACCATAGCCACCATCAAGGTGATCGCTGCGGACTACGGCCGAGATCTTGTTGCCTTCCTCGCACCGCTTGTGTGCCATCAATACCGAAACACTGCTTGCCGGCACCGCTTTGTCATGGCGACACCTTGCCGAGCCCTCGATGGTGCTTTGAAGTGTTTCTTTGGAGTCTGCTTTTTAGCTTTAGCCTAAGCGATGTCGGCGATCTTTGATATCGATTGTGCCTAGGTATTTTCTCGAGTATCTGTTTTAGCTACCTAGAAAATGAATGATTCTTTTCGGTTAGGGAACATCCTTGAATCATGCTTTACTTTTTTTAAGAAATAGTTCTGTGTTTGCACACCATCGATTCCTGTTGTGTCCAAACAGAATTAGGTGTTTGGGTGTTAGGTCGAATTAATGTATGTGGACACATATTCAAATGCCACAGTTATAATTTGTGCCATACCATAAATGTATTGGTCACTTAGATTAAAAATATACTAAATTATGGACATATAAAAGTTGCGACGTGTGAAATATGAAAGCTTACGGGTTAGAGGTGGCCTTGTTGATATTTGCTGTTTTGAAAAGAAACGATGATGTCATGATCCTTATCGGCAAGAGGAATTCCACAGAATGAATGTCTCCTCATCATTTGAACCTAACAATTGAAACCACTCAGGTTTCAGAAACATTCTGCTAGCTGCATTGGTGTGCATTAATTGCAAATTAACGAGCAGAGGTTATGATTGAAGTACAGAATTAATATAGCAAGGACAAAAACCGGATAGCAAGGACAAAAAACGGATAGCATCATACTACAATACAGATAAATTAATATAGCAAATTCAGAACACAGGATAGAGGTTATGATTGAAGTCTGAAATTCACCTAACATAATTGATGAAACTTTGTATTTTGTGCGCAAACAAAAAATGGTAAATGGAGTTTAGGATTATCATGTGGGTTTTGAGTCTGGTACATTAGGTTTGATATGGACATATGGTGACACATTGTGCACACTACGCTTTCTATTCTTTCACAACTTAACGATCGGATGCGAGAGGTCGGGACTACATTCAAAATCTTGGTTCCTTCATCTAAAATTAATGAGCAAAAGGCACCGAATTTATAAACAACATAGCCTTACCAGGGAGTTGCTTGGATCTTGACATTTACCGGTGTGCAACTGGAGTTGTATTGCCACTACTAGAGTAGTGCACAAGACCCATGACCCGAAAAGTCATTAAAGGACAAACAGTTGGGATGTACATAATAGGATTGTAAATTGTGACAAAGTTACAGATGAATTACCTTTGCAAGGTAATTCTTGTCCAAGAAGACATTGCTAGGCTTAACATCTCCATGGTATAGTGGAGGATCACAATAAAAATGAAGGTACTCCTGTAACCAAACATCATAAAAAGTAAAACATAAATTTGAAATATATTTAGTCATGACAGGGAGTATGGTAAATATTGATTCAGCCTTTCACAAGTTGACAAAATTGTAAGAAACAACTAATAAGTCTTGCTTATCACGATTACTGACTTCTGCAGAAAGAAAGAAAGAAAGAAACAATCACAGATTTCCTGAAACTTACCAAAGCATTAGCAACATCGATGGCAATTCAGACCCTATTTTTCCATGGTAGCAGATGTTTACTTGGTGCTGAAAAGAGCAGAGTGATTTTAAACATACAATTCAACAAATGATGCATCATCAGAAGAATATGAGAATAGAACATGACTTATTACAATGCAGGTGATCTTGAAGGCTTCCATTTTCCATGTATTCATATACCAAACCACGGATCACGTAACAACGTAACAACCATAATTGGTGGATATCTCGAATTTAGTTACAACAGATATTAACCTCTCAAATCTTGTTGAACAAAAACCTTTTAGTCCAACAAGATGCGGTGATGCAACCGCCCCAAGAAATTCCATTTCTTTACAAAATTCATGGTAATTTTGTTTTGGTGAACTCTCAACGCATCGATAGCAACCACAGATCCATCATTTAGTTGTCCTCTGAATCTTGTACCATTTTCACCTCCTTCTAACACCGTCTTTGAAGTTCCTTGTTGCTTTCTTCATTTCTCTGTAACTAAATCTGCCAAAAATGGTGGAATTGCCTGGAAAACATTTCTGGTAGGCAAATAAATTGAACCATAAGGATAAGGTTTTGAATAAATTACAGGAAGTCCATCATAGTATTTAATATGATGCACTTTGGCAAAAAAAAAATAAAATAAATAAATAAATAAAAATCGACCACATCATTATTATCCATTTTATTGATAGCCTCATGATGATGATCGAAAGGAACTGAGCTTAGCTCGACTTATGGGAGTTCAGACACCGCCCATCCATGTTCAGGTCCTCCATATCTCGAATTTGGGTGTCTATTTACTTTAAAATTAGAAATCAACTAGCCCATCCTAGGTTATTTTTTATTTAAGACAATGAGTGGAAGAGGGATACCATGTATACCAACTTGAGATATTGACTGTCTTGGCCAAGCTTCTCATGGTGTGACCCGGTTAGAGGAGTGAGCTCTGGACTCTCCCATCCGACCCGGGTTCAAGCCTTGGCACCTTCTTATTTCAAAGCCATATAGAGGAGTCTCCTCCCATGGTCGAGTTTTTTTTTATATATATATTGACTGTATTGTGCACATGGTAGATTTTTTTAATAGCATGGAAGAAGCAAAACATATTAACTGGGCTTATGCCCTTATGTTTTCCCTCATGTTTGCCTTTTAGGCTATAACTCTCATTACGGCTCCTTTCCCTTATCACATCCACACCGACATATATAAATGAGTTTTGTATCATCTAGAATCAAGAATACTAGAACATTTGGCGCCCTTGAGCGCCTATCTCTTAACTATTTAGCCAAACTAATTCAAACTAATAAATTATTTAGTCAAATTCAAACGACAATTTTCTTGTTTCATAGAAAAAATTAAGAAAACTTTTTCCATGTAATACACTATGATTCTTAAAAAACATTCCATGAATTTCATCGACATCTTTGAAAACTTCTCTACATTAGGCATCACTATAAAGGGTCAGATTGTAGATCAATTTAGGGTGTGAGATTTGAAAAATAAAAAAAATACATCTAAGTAGGAAGTATACATGCAACCATAATGAACTTAAAAGAGTTTGTCATGACGTTGAACATAAAGACTCATAGAAGAATCTACGATTGACGTGCGATTAAAATCAACTTATACTCCAAATCCCTTAACATTGGCTAGGCGGAAAGTGTCGTTTGACAACGACGATTGGGTCTTGACCACATCTTCGTGTACCGATTCATAAGTCAAGAGCAAGACCATTAAACAAAATTTAATCTTATCCAATCTTGAAAAGAAACATCTTAATTACAAGTCGTCTAAAAATTGGCTTTCCCTGCCAAGCTAGTCCAAATCGGTGGAAACAAGGCCTCTGAAATGGTATGCATGTTGTACACAATTCTGAGCTTGGTAGTTAATTTTGCCAACATAATGAATGCAAATGATCCAGGGTATAATTGTAGTGAGCATGTAATAATAATCACTAATCATAAAATTATTAATACAAGCAACATGACAAAAAACATGGTAACAGATCACTAAAATATTGCATAAGAAAATAGAAAATCTTGTAACAACGATATACACTCTATGGAAGATATTTTTTTAACTCCACTCTCACGGAAGATATGGTATACACCTATTGGTGTCGAAACTGTTTTTTAACGTAAATGGTGTTGTAACCGTAAGCTAGCATTGACCCAATGAAAGTGACAACCATTGATTAAAGATTAAGTATGTGTTGACAAAACAATATTGTTTTCTTTAATCAAAATATTGTGCGATTACTTTTCCCAAATAAGTATTGCTCGATTATATCCAGTCAATAATCGAACTATTGTATACTTGAGTTGGTGCAAGAAATAAGTCAATTCATTACGAGTTGTAATTTTAGAATGGTTCAAACTTCTAAGACACGGCGAACAAGAAAGATAATAGAAGTATTAAAACATAGTGACAATATGATTTCTTGACCAATGGAATACCAAAATATAAATCCAAGCAAATAATAAATTTACATAAGAATATAGCATATGCTATCTAACATGCGTTTGAGAAGTACCAAAGCAAACTGAAAAGGCCATTACCAATCACCATACTTTGGTAGTTTAATCATGAGAGCTTCCAAGTAACCCATATGTGAAAAAGGTCAATCGAGAGCCAGCCCTATTGAGTACGGTAAGATTCGGAAGGAAATAAAACATGGGAAAGAGATATTTACCTTCCATAAACAATATGGCCTTGTTATACTTCATTTGTAATGAGACAAAATTAGCAACTCATAGTTAAATAGTGGGTATCGATAAGCAAAATTACAAAGCAATTTGAAAAGAGG